TGCTGCTGCTGTTGTTGCTGCAGCTGTTGTTGCTGCTGCTGCTTTCAAGATGACAATGCGGGGCGCTGTTCTTCTTCTCGAATTTAATTCTGCTGCAACATGGAAGCAACAGCAGCAGCAGCAGCAGCAGCAGCAGCAACAGAGGCAGCAGTAACAAGAAGCAGTCTTTCTTCTTTTTTGTGTTGCATCCCCGGGCAAACACAGCAGCAGCTGCATCATCATCATCAGCATCAGCAGTAGCACCAGCAGCAGCAGCACCAGCAGCAATAGCAACACCAGCAGCAGTATCAGCAGCAGAAGCCTCAGCAGCAGCAGCAGCAACAGCAGCAGCAGCGAAGAGAGCTGCTGCATGCTGTATATAGGCAGTATGGAGATGCCTCACTGCTTTAGCGGTTTATAAAAATTATTTTTATTTATGTTGTTTGTTTTTATATTAAAGACAGCGACGGCTGTCTTTCTCTCTTTTTCTCTCTTTGTTTGTTTATTCAAGACAAGAGAAGCATTTGTTTTATCTTGCTGCAAGTGATGCAGCAGCAGCAGCTGGCCGCTTCTTTTAAAGCTGCAATTGCTGCTGCTGCTACTGCTGCTGCTGCTGCTGCTGCTTCCGCTTCTATCTTGGTGCAAATGAGGCATCAGCAGCTGACCGCTTCTTTTAAAGCTGCAATTGCTGCTGCTGCTGCTGCTGCTGCTGCTGTCTTGCTGCAAGTGAGACGTCAGCAGCAGCTGGCTGCTTCGTTGATTGTTGCATTTGCTACTGCTGCTGCTGCTGCTGCTGCTGCTGCTGCGGCTTCTCGAATAAATTTGATGCCCAGGGTTGAAGGACAGCATTGGAGAGAAAAGTGTTTATGTTTTATTCTTTTGTTTATCTCTGTTTTTATTTTTATTTTGCTGTTTGTTTGTTTATATTTATATTTATATTTATATTTTGTTTGAGGGTTTGCAGTAGACGTTGAAAGAAATGCATAAAAAGATATTTAAAAGAAGAAGAGAGAGAAGCTGCAGGCTCAGAGAGAAAATACACAAATAAATAAAAACAAATAATTTAAAATAAAATATAAAACAAACAGATAATAATAATACGCATTTTAAAAATATCTTTTTATTAGTGTTATTTTATTATTATTATTATTATTATTATTTTATTATTATTTTATCTTAGTTTCTCTTCTTCTCCCTTAGTAGAACAGCACAAAGCAAACAAATGCAGCATCGAGTGCATAGGAAGTATAAGGGCTGCTGGCCTATTAGCGGCGCTGCAATTGAAATAAAGTAAACAAAGATAATGAAATAAAAGAAGCAAAGAAATATTAAATAAAAAGAAAAAATCAAAGAATTAAATAATAAAAAGATAATAACAGTCTATCGATGCAAATAAACAAAGTCGCGGCCACCACCGCTGCTCAAACAGAAAGACGACAGAAGAAATATAAATTAATTAGCTCTTTTAAAAAGATATAAATGCTTTAATTCAATCAAATAATTTTCAAAAAATCAGGGTTTACGATCTAGGGTTTAGGGTTTAGGGTTTAGGGTTTAGGGTTTAGGGTTTAGGGTTTAGGGTTTAGGGTTTAGCAGCCAGCGGCTGTCGAGCGGCTGAGCGTGAAGAGGAGGTGACCTTAGGAAGAAAAGGAGTAAAAATGAAGGAAAGAGTGCGGGAAAAAGGAATAAATGAATAAAATAATGCATTTATCTTTCTTTTTTGATTTATTACGATCATCTTGCTCTTTTTTTGCTGCGAAAAACGTAAAAAATATTCAAAGAATCCACCGACGGCACACCACCGCCGTCGGCTGTCTGTACACCTGAATGACTCGCCTTATTTTCTTTTTTCTTTGCATTGATTAAGGCAATTAAAAGCATTTTTATTGCTTTTTTGTTTTATTTGTTTAATTTCTCTAAAATAAACATTAATATACATCAATTGATCGATTGCTTCGCTTGCATTTCCTCAGCAACCCTTTATGCGGCAGAGACCGCTACGAAACCTGTGTTCTTCTTCTTCTTATTTTTATTTTGATTTTTAAAATTTCATCTTTTTAAACAAGAAATATATTGAAATTAAAGATAATTTCTGCTTCTTTTGCCAGCAACACACCGATAAACATTGTTGAGTCTTAGTTGTACTCAATCTTTTTATGCATATAGACAATCTTTTTCATTCTTTTTTTCTTCTTTTATTCAATTATTAAAGATGTCTTTTATTGAGGAAAATGTTGAAGAAGCTGCTGCACCTGACTATGAAAATCGAGAGAGGTGGATGGAGGCTCTAGAAGAACATCAAGATGGTATAGGAGTTGTCTATGGGCGGGGTGTACGTACAGCTGAATTACCGCGAGAAAAAAGAAAGAAATTAACAAGAGGTTTAATTTGGCTTTGGGTTATTTTATTTTGTGTTGCTGTAGCATATGCTAGCGTTCATCTGGCTGCTCAGAGCTGCAAGAGAGGCAGAGATAATAGTATGTGGATTATAACGGTTGTTGCTGCAGATATAGTTATTACTATTGCTTCTCTTTGCTTCGGTGTTGTAGGTATATTGATTAAAGATGAAATATTCATGCAGCAGGCAGCAGCACTGCATGCAGTTGCTGCTATTTGGCATACATTACAGGGTTTATTTTATCTCTTCTTTGTTTTACTTCTTTCAAAGATAGCAGGGGAGTGGTTAAGGGGCGGAAGATATAAACAGCAGCAAATTGCTGATTTTAATGCTTTTCTCAATGCACTCATCTTCATAGGAGTTATACTCGTTCTGCTATGCGTAGCCAGCAGTAAGATAACGCCAACTACAGCTGCTGCTGTTGCTGCTGCTGCTGCTGCTGCTGCTGCTGTTGCTATTGCTGTTGCTGTTGTTTGTGCTCCTGCTGCTGCTGTTGTTTGAGTTGCAGCTGCTCGTGCTGCTGTTGCTCCGACCATTGTTGCATCTGCTGCTGCTGCTGCTGCTTTATGGTCTGCTGCTGCTGCTGCTGCTGCATCTGCTGGTGTGAATATTTTTGTGTTTTGTTTGTTGCAGGTCGGCAGTGCCGTTCTTTATCTTATTCATTTGAAGTAATGCGAGTAAGTAAAGAGAGTCAAGAAAGAGAGGAGGCAGAAGAAGACAAACAAAAAAACAAAGAAAAAGAAAGGAGACAAACAAAAGCAGCAAAGCAGCAGCTGCAGCAATACGGCACTTTCTCTGCTGCAGCAGCAGCAGCAAAATAAAAATATTATCAAACAACAAGCGTTTAATATATTAGATATATGTCTATGTAAACATATATATATAATATAATATATATATATATATTAACATACATAATATATAATATATATTATTTGCCTTACTCCTTAGAGTAATAACTATGAACAGTAAATAAATTAATCCGTTTAAATATATATTTTATATTATTTATTTGTTTATTTATATTTACTATGCATCATCTATTCGTCTATCATTTTGTTTATTTGCTGCTGCATATATTAGGAGAACCTTTACTGGGGGCTCCTTCAAAATAATGCAAGCAAGCAGCAGCAGCAGCACTTGCTGCTGCTGCTGCAGCTGCTGCTCCCGCTGCAGCTGCTGTAGCTGCTGCTCCCGCTGCAGCTGCTGTTGCTGCTGTTGCAGCTGCTGCTGCTGCTTCTGCTCCTGCAGCTGCTGCTGCAGCTCGAGCTGATGCTGCTGCTGCAGCTCGAGCTGATGCTGCTGCAGCAGGGGGTTTTATAGGTGTATATATATATGTATATATAAATACATGTATATATATACACATATATATATGTATATATTTGTTTTATTGTGAATTAGACAATAGATATTTCTCTGCGATTTGCATGGAGTCTTCTATCGCCTAAAAAACAAACAAAAACAAAAAAAAGAAGTGCTGCTGCATGCAGACAAACCCTAATACCTTGTATGCATAGACATACTACTATAAAGATTATATATATACGTATATATATTTATATATATATATTTATTTATTTTTATTTATTTATTTATTAACAAACCTCTAATTGCGATGGTTTTATAGAAAAGATAATGCCTTTAAAGGGGGCGGCGTTTTCTTCTGCAGCAAACACAGCAAAAAAGTTTATTTATTTTATTTATTTTAATTAATTAATTAATTAATTTTATTTATTTATTTTTTTTATTTATTTGTTTGCTTCGTTGTGTATTCGTCTGCTTGTTTGTTTGCTCTTTTTGTCTATTTGTTTGGTCTTGCTTAGGGTAATAGGAATAAGGGGTTTAGGGTTTAGGGTTTAGGGTTTTTATTGATGTGTAGTTTTAATATATCTGCATGCGCATTGCCTCTATCTCTATCCCTTTGTTATTCGTTTGTTTGTATATATTTATAAGCAACTGTTTTACTTGCTGCTGCTGTTGCTGCTGTTGCTGCTGCTGCTGCTGCTGCTGCTGCTGTTGCTGCTGCTGCTGCTGCTGTTGCTGCTGGCTCACTTTGCAGTTCTCCCCACGCAGATTTGAACTGCAGCAGCGACTTCGGGTGTATCTGCAGCAGCAGCGGCAGCTGGCTAAATTGTTTGCGTAAATGATAAATTGCTGCTGCATCTGCTGCTGCATCTGCTGCTGCATCTGCTGCACTTGAAAAAGAAGTAAATAAACCTAAGAGGGGTCCATCTGCTGCAGCATTAACAAACAAAACACAAAAACTATTAAAATAATTATATTCAAACAATTATATATTACAAACATCGTTCAACTGAGGTGTACGTACACCCCACACAAACAAATAACAAACAAACTGCAAAACATTCATCACACTTCTTCTTTCTCCAATGCAGAATAATATATATATATATATATAAACATATATATATATATATGTATATATATATATATACGTATATATATATATATATATACATATATACATATATTTATATACATATACATTATATATATTGAAATACGAAATGTAATTGCATATATATATATATATATATCAAGCTAAATATATATATATATATATATATACATGTATATATATATATATATATATATATAT